AACCTGGTTTACAGCAGCAGGAGGCAGCTGTTTTTAGTGAAAAAGCTCTGATAAACTCAGCTTACACCACCTGCCTAGCATCAAACAGCAGACGGACACTGATATTTTTCTCAGTAGTTGGTGGAGACCCAAAACAAAGTTGAAAGAAGAGTGAATATTGGATTTACATTTATCAGATGGACACAAACATGACTCCAGATGTTGCTCTGTGACTGCTACATATGGAGATAGGACACTGTTTGCCAAAGTGTTAGTCATATCAACTCTGTAAGGTTGATATTCTTATCTATGCTCATGTAATCATGATTACCAAGTATCAGGCTCCACCTTAGCATGCTGTTACACTATTCTTACCGGTCTTCAGTGCCAACACATAATATGAAGTGATGCTCTGACTGATTGGGAGATTTCTAGTTGATGCCTGTTAGAGGCTTTGGGGTGAACTAGGTTAGAGCTGAACAAAGCTCCCATTCTCACCACACTCATTAAATCAATTACTTCCACTTTAAAGAGCAACTGTTGTTAGTCTGCTCCTCTAATATCTGTAACGCCCTGTTTGGCAAACTTACAGTATACTCCAGTTCAAACAGCACAGCAAGTCATAGATCTCACACTTGTTGCTCATTGTTCAAATGTTGACCTATATGGTAGTGTTCCAGTGTGGTCTGAAATGTGTACATCAATACTTTTGCACCAAAAGGGTTATATTTACAAGGCAGTCCTTGGACTTTATGTATATATGGTGCATTTACAGTAAAAGTAAACCAACTGTTATAAAACAAAAAATTAAGGGACCTAAGTATAGAACATTGGTCATATGAATATACCACCTAAACAAGTTCTATTTCCTGAAGACAAAAAAGGCTGTGAATTCAGTTCAATGCTTACATAACAGCTACTAAGTAAACCTTGAGTTTACAATATTTAACAGTGAATGTGTGTCTTCAAACAAAAAAAATTACCTCCCTGCACAAGTGATGTAACTTGCTTTTCTGGGTTCATTTTGACGGGGTTTTTTGGCTCTTATTTGTGTGAATAACTGGCTAAAGGAAATGTGGAACCATTCCAGACATTTCGAGCAGCTCAACAGCAAACATCAGGTTCTGGTGTTAGTCCATCAAAATCAGGCATCAGCTTGTGCTTCTTTTAACTTGCTCCTACAGTCATCCAGGAATAAATCAACTGGAGAAGAGGCACAAAGAACAATTCCTACACCCACAGCAGCAGAAAATAGACCTGAATATTATGCATCTACAGGGCAGGGCGGGTTGTTGGTGGGGCACATCACTGATCATCGCCAACCAGCTGGTTAGCTCACAATTTATGCTCACATGCTCATACAGTTCATCCACTAGGGATGCACAATATTGTTTTTTTTGCTGATATCCAATATATAACAACTCATTTGGCCAATAACCCTTACCAATATTGATATATCCACTCTTTTCCACCTAATTTTAATGATCAAGTCTCTTCTGTATGGAATTAATATCATATTATGCATATTATGCTTATCCTGATGGCCAACCAGCAGATGGAGACAGTAACGAGAATGCTTTTCAATGTATGTGATATTCATTCATTGTGCAAAATAAGAAAAAGCGCATCGGCCAGTTCTATCACTTCATTTTAAGGCCAATATCGGCCGATATCAATCACCACTTATCCAAAGCCGGGTTGCTTGGGCAGCAGGCTGAGCAAACTATTCCAGACATCCCTCTCTCCAGCAATGCTTTCCAGGTCCTCCTGGGAGACCCCCAGGTGTTCCCAGGTCAGACAACATATATAATCTCTCCAGTGTGTTCTGGGTCTGCCCCGGGGCCTCCTACTAGTTGGACGTGCCCGGAACACCTCTAACAGGATGCATCCAGGAAGCATCCTGATCAGATGCCCGAACCACCTCAACTGGCCACTTTCCATGCAAAGGAGCAGCAGCTCTACTCCTAGCTCCCTCCAGATATCTGAGCTCCTTCCCCCATCTCTAAGGCTGAGCCCAGCCACCCTCTGGAGGAAACATATTTCTGCCCCTTATATCCGCTATCTCATTCTTTCTGTCATTACCCATAGCTCATGACCATAGGTGACGGTTGGGACGTAGATGGACCAGTAAATCTAAAGCTTTGCTGTAGTTCCTAAGGATGTTAAAAGCGCTAAGGACTAGGGTATGTTGGAAACAAACTAGTTCAAACAATAACCCACCAAAACTGGATTTTTGTGGCCAATACGGATATTGAGATCCAATCACCAAAAAAAATGTACACATATGTTTGCTGACAAACAATGGATACTTTGTATATAAACATTATTTTGTAGCAGTTACATTGAAATTTTAAATTTCTACACAACGCTGTAGTGAGGGTTTGGTTACAAAAAACTACTTTAATATGGTAAGGAAAGATCATGTTTTGACTTAAAATACCCACATCTGGTGGCTAAAATGCTGCTAGGAAATGCCATAATGTGTCTGTGAAAATCACAGGATTCCATGGCTCAAAAGTGAGGTGAGAAACACTGTGTTGTTTCAGTAAAAAAAAACACCCAGGTTTGGTGCCAAAAACATGGAATGCTGCGAAACATTGTCAAAAAACAACTGGTTTTGTTGTTTGTTGATCTTGAATAGTGATCTGCAGCTTGGAAGGCGTCTTGCCAAGGTGTTACGCCATCCACTATCCCCTCCACCTCCAGATGACAAAGTCAGCTCATATACTACGTCACATTGAAACACTGATATGATACGTATGGAACATGCAAATGTAACATATTCACGGTTTGCAGAAATGTACGATGCCAACATTTTCCTCTGGTGACTGGGCTGGATATTGATTTGGGAGTCTGAAACATCTGATGACAATAGCTGATGGCATATTTTTAACAAAACATCTTGATACAGATCCTTATTTGTTTTTCTTTTATAATTATAACCACAATTTAACATTTAACCAACATTTAACAGCTGACAAATCAACTTGTCAGTGCTCTCTGGTGGACAAACTGTTTAATGCTGACAGATTTATCGATCTAGCTCTCATGTGGACATAAGACTGCCTGTCCACGTCAGACAGCAAGTGTTTATAGTTTTTCACAACAGCCATTTTCAGCAGCAGGGTGAAATAGCAGCCATCATGGAGAGGAGAAAGAGACGCCATAATCATCTCCCTTGGAAGACATTCATAGTGCACTTACTTGTAGCACTTTCATGTATACACACAAAACGTGCTGGAAAAACTTGTGTAATAAGTGAAAAGAAAAGACAGCTTTAGAGATAGAGCATTCATCCCTGCAGAAGAGAGCATGGATGTTACTGAAACTGTCAGACACATGCAGCTCCTTCAGTTCAGATGTTGGAAAGATGTTGAGGGGGGGGGTCGTCTCAAGCTAGGTAGCAATGTCATTACATTACATTCATTTGGCAAACCATTTTGGTCAAAGCAAATTAAGGCACTGGTCCTTAGCTCATCGATGGAGTATACTGGCACCTTAAGTCACTCTGACCAAAATGGTTTCCCAGATGGATGTAATGTATCCTAACAACATTGATACTTTCATTGTGCTGCTGATTACAAATTTGCATTCACAGACAAACCCATAAATCCCACATTCACACACACAATGCCAGTTCCATACTTTGTCTAAAACCAATATGCAAATCATGCCTCAAAAAGCTTCCACAGACAAATACTAACATGTGATGCATATAATGATAATTTCTCTGAATGTCCATAGTGTCAGGAACAATCCCTGTGCAACAACCCTGTAACACATATTTATATAATAAATACATACTGCAAACATGTAGGCTCTACATCTGTCAAACATAATCCAAGCATGCTGTATATACTGTCATATCCACCTACTTCATGTATACAGTATATGCAACCTGTTACATTTATCATTCTATATTTAGTCCAGCACCTTTGCACTACTGACTAACTGTTTACAAAATTCATTGTGATGTGTTTATATAAATACACACGTATACATACATATATATGTGTGTGTGTGTGTGTATATACATATACATTTATATATATATATATATATAGAGAGAGAGAGAGAAAGAGATAGATATAAATAATTGTAGATAAGCAAATGTACACAGTATGGTAACCGTCAATTTTTAAATCACAGTATACCTTAAAACTGGTATACTGCTGCAACCCTAATACATATATGTGCATGTATTTTTACATGTTATATGTATTTATATCTATACAATGTTGGGAGTAGTGAAGTGACTGTGTTTACCTTGTTCAGCTATGTTGTCCTTGTTTTTAGCTGTATGTCTATTCTGTGCACTGACAGCAACAAAAAAACTGAGTCATATTTCTTGTATGAGCACCCATACTTGGCCAGTAAAGCTGAATCTAATTTTGAATTCCTGGATTGCTACAAGACATAACAAAAGAGCTGTATGATGAACGGCAGTCCAAATTGCTCTGTCAGACCAACTTTCCCAAATCCAATGATATTTAAATGATAAATCCATCATCAAAATTGTTCACCATTGAGCTATTTTCTGTCAGTCATCCAGTCAATGACAAATAATCACTTCAGCTCTGAAACTAATGTCTTCTGCACATTCTCACACTCTGTCAGTTTGTAGTTGTGCCTCCAAAATACCTTTGGCTGCTATTGTTAAACAGCACTGGGACACAGTGCCTTGCAGGGACCACAAGCACTGTTTACATGTGCACTTCATGAATGAAATGCCTTCACACAACACTGCAGGCAGTTACACCGTAGTGTGTGAAGTCCTATGTACCCACTACAGTTATAGATGGGCTCCTGAGTACACACTGTGACCTGTTTCTGAGCTCCACATAGAAAGTTTGGGGCTCTGCGGGCTATCCGAAGTTCCCCAAAGCCGCAGGCAAACGGTGCGGAGAGTCTCGCAGCATACCGTTACTCAGTGAGGCTGTGCATGCGTGGCGAGGCCACTCACCGCGCTCCGCAGATCACGGTCTTACTAACAGCAGTAATATCAGTCAGGATGCTCCTACCTTGCAGGTTCTGCACTCGGATGTCGCTGATCTGTCCGATAAATTCCTCCCGCTCGAACCAGTCTTCCCACTCGTGTCCAGCCATTTGGAGCGGCGGAGAGTGCTGCAGGGATCCTGGGCAGGAACACTCAGAAAGCTCCCTCGGCTGGAGGAGGAGGAGGAGGAGGAGGAGAAGAAGCTGCTGCTGCTGCTGCTGCTGCTGCTCCTGCTGCAGCGGGCAGGCGGGCTGGCTATTGTCCGGCCGACCGACACAGAGCCATGCAAGCCGGGTACACGGGCTGAGGGTACCGACGGGAGGGTTTCACTCACTGGATGGACATCGCTGGTGGTTACTGCGTGTTTCTTCCCGTCACATCGCAGCAGTGGAAGCGATGAAGCTTCGTGGGAAAAGCCCGTGGATACGAGTGGAGAGCAGGGCAGGAAGGAGCTGCAGCACCTGGTTGGTATTTCCGAGGTGGGATGGAGCTGATCCAGGACCCGCCCACCTCTCTCTCCCCCTCTCTCTCTCTCTCTCTCTCTCTCTCTCTCTCTCTCTCTCTCTCTCTCTCTCCCACACTCACACAAACACACACACACACACCACCAGTGATCAACAGGGTGGGAGGATGCAGGACTAATGCATGTATTTTAACAGGTTATTTTCTGTTTTTATTTTGTATATTTACACATTTTACAGACATCGCTCTAAAACTTTCATCATCGTCCCCTCATTTAGCAAAATTAATTGTGCTGACTGTTTCATCATCATCATCATCATCATCATCAAACCACACCAAACATAACTGTTTTAGATAGGCTACCTTATTTAGAGGAAAATAAATGTTTAGGTAAATATTAATGTCAGTGTTTTCCTACTGAAACAATCAATCCATCAAGAGTTAGTTAATCAGCAACTATTTTGATATTCAGTTAATTATTTAATCATTATTTAATCAAGTAAAAGTTCATGAACTTTTTTTTTCAGACTTTTTCTGCACAGTTTGAGGGTCTACATGTGAAGGTGTCACCTTAAGCTCTGGGACACATGGAGTCATCACTGACATCTGTTCATACAGTCCAACCTATATTGAATCCTCGAGACTAACTAGATATTTGTAATTTAAACAAGCTAGAGACCATCTTGCGAGGGGATCACTCCAGCCACAATACAGGGCTTGGTGAAGTTGATTTGGCATAGTGGCCAAAAGTGGACATACTACACGGGTCCATCACGTGATGCCATGAGGTTTAAAAAGACTTTTTTTCCCATAGAATTACATTGTGAAAGAGACATCTGTAAATCAGTGGATCATTTTTTATTTATTTATTTTTTTGCTTCACAACTCATGCAGAATGACTCATTTCATCATTTCACTATCGATATTTGATCAGACCGGTAACATTTAAAAGTGGAGAAGAGCTGCACAATTCAATCATTTTATTCCCATTCAAGTTAACAGAAACTGGAAATTAGCCACTCAGCCACTGTCAGTCTCTAGTGTGCTTGCTCTATGGGACTTTTTTAACAGTGTTGGACTGTTTTTGCCCAAATAATTTTTCACAGATTGGTGAACCTCGTGCCATCTGTGCTTGTGAACATCTGAGCCTTTCATGGATGCTCCTTTCATACCCAATCATGATTCTTTTGTCTGATACCAGTTGACCTGTTTACCTGCAAAATGTTCTAAACAGGTGTTTTTTGAGCATTCCACAACTTTCCCAGTCTCTTTTTGCCTGTCCCAACCTTTTTTGGAACATGTTACATCAAAATTTAGAATGAGCATGTTTTACAAGAAGCAATAAAGTTTATCAGTTTCATCATTAAATATCTTGTCTTTGTACTGTATTCAATTGAATAGAGGTCAAAAAGGATTTGCAAATCATTGCAATCATTGCATGTAAATGAGACCAATAATACAACTCCTAAAGCAACAGTTTTCAACAAATAATCCCCAAGATACTAGTTTAATAAGTGAATGTTTAATAGGAAAAAGTAATCCACAGATTCAGTGATAAAGGAAATAACTGTTCACCTGTTCACATAAGGAGGAGAGAACAGGACATGTCCTCATCTGCCTATACAATATTTAGGCTCCAACTCTACAGGACAGCCACAGACTATACTGTAAACACCTTCTTCTTCTGATATAAGCGTTTTCTCGCTGGAGAGATACATGTGTATTACAAACATGCTAAACACTGGAATGGGAGAATATATGTCATCAAAAGGCACATTAAACCAGCTGACTCGACGGGATGAGCTGGTTTGTACCTGTTTTAACAATAAATGGAAAAAGACTCTTGATCATCAACGTAACGGTCAAAATTACTAAAAGACAACCTGCCAACATGTGAAGTGCAAATGTAAATATGTCAGATAATACCCTGAGATAAGTATTACTAAATGTCACCAAAAATAAACTTGTAATTTGCTTGTGCAGGGACCCTGCTGATAACAAACAGGTGGTTGCACTGTGTATGTGGGGAGATGGTAACATCTGTCTTAGACTCACAAGTCAGTCTTTAGATGCTTTGCTTAACTAAAGACTGATGTCTTTCTCCCTGATTTTGTGTTTAGATGGGCGGATACAATTTCAGAGTTTAAAAAAACTCCCTATCTTGCAGAACCAATAGTAAATCCGTAGGGCGGTCCTTTGGTGGCTCGCTGAACTCTTGTACTCGTAAACATAGTCCGACTAGAAACACGTGCAGCGGTACAAAATGGCTCAAGTCGCAGTAAGTCCTTCATTTCCACAGTCTTGTGGAGTGAGCCCACGTTTGATAAAACAGAGTTAAATCTCTCGGCATCCATTTTCAAGCTCTCTCTGTGTTTGTGTCCTTGCGGATGAGAAAAGGGGGTGCGCACATTTCCGGGAGGGCGTGTCCTTTTACAAAATGCAAGAGGCGTTGCTTTGTTGCCGGCGGTTTTCTCCGGTGTGTTAAACACACTTTAGAAAGGAGTGTCCCCAAACTATCAGAAGGCGGAGATCTCTGATTGTCTGGTGGCGAGACTGCATCCGTCTCTCATAAATGATGGTGTGTGGTACAGCCCAAAGGATACAAGATTTTTTTTTGGGGGGGCATTTTTAAGCCTTTAATTGATAGGACAGATGAGCGTGAAGGGGGAAGAGAGAGAGGGAGTGACATGCAGCAAAGGGCCACAGGCTGGAGTCGAACCCAGGCTGCTGCGGCAACAGCCTTGTACATGGGGCGCCTGCTCTACCACTAAGCCACCGAAGCCCCAGGATACAAGATTTTTGAGGCCGATTTTTTTTTTTTTTTTTTTACACAGCCCAAACAAGAAACATTTTAGATGAAGTTCCTGTAAATTTGATTTCTAAAAATTGTGACCAAGACATGTATTGGGCATTTCAGGGGACAAACTTTTACACTCTTTTAGAACCTATCTTTGAGATTTCTGTACTTCAGTCTCTTGTCAGTAATCAGCCTTTCTCGGCCATTCTTATTCGGAGTCTGACTTCCAGCAGATGGCGATACAACTTCTGGGGGCAGATCCCCGATTTTTTGGCATTCCGGTTTGAGGAGGCGAATTTCCGTTTCCGACTTCCATTTATATATAAGTAAATATGCTGAACCATTGCGATGGATTCAGAGTTTGCAGTGACGCCAGTTATGTTCCACCTCATTAGTTCACCGCATGGACCATTTAATCTAGCAACAACTGCAGCCGGCTCAAACGTGATTGGTCAATATCACGCGGACTACAAACAGCCTACAACCAGAAACCAGGGCTCTTCCGCTCTTCTTCCGGAGGCAAAATCTCTTCTTTGCCTACAGAGTCTACATTCACTGAATGTAGAGTCTGTATATAGAGACTAGTAATCAGCTGACATGTACACTGATACTGATTTATCAGCAATGAGCAGAATGTAAATCGGCCGGGTCGATGTGTCTCCCAGCATCCTGTCTCTGATGTCAGATGCAGTAGTGGATCCTGATATGGGCTGAATGGGTGGGTTCGGCCCACTTGACATGCTACTATGTTGTGCTATGGCCTATTTAAGTGCTGGAATTTGTTATTTACGTGACAGCGCCTGAACGCAACACAGGCTCCGCTCCATAGACTGTGTGTACAGTGCCACGCTGCGCTGCTGTGCGAGCAGCATGTTACACACTGTCCGTAACAATAACTATGTCAGGTAACAAACTGCATCAGACTCGGGTCGGTTCGGTCAGGAAAATGTGGCCCGAGCCACGCTCTAGTGTGCTCACCTGTAAGTGCGCGCATGTGTTTGTGTGTTTGTGTCTCTGTGTGTTTGTGTATGTGTGTGTGTGTGTGTGTGTGTGTGTGTGTGTGTGCGCACGTGCATTGGGTCAGAACTCCGCTGTGCGCGATACAGAGAGCAGAGGAGATTTTTAAAGGTGCAACTATGAAGAGACAGAAATGACATGCCGTGGTGTAAATAAGATACACCCCCCTAATATAATGGTAGGGGAAACAGTGCTTGTGGTTCTCAGTTAAGAGGCCAAATAATAAAACCTTGCCTAACTGTGTGTTGTTGTTTTTTTGTGCGCCATAGGGGGGTGTCACCCAGGCCACCATTTAGGATAGAACCGCCACTGGTCAGATGTGAATGTCCTTCTTGATCTTTCTCTTGTCATCGACTGACTCCAGCTCAATGACCTTTGACCTCTACCAGTGGATGCTGTGAGTAGTTTTGGTCTGGTGTTGAAAGACAGCTGATGTGTGTTTGTGTTGGTCATTTATGACAAACGCTACATCAGAGAAATGGCAAGAGCCCTGGACAGAAACAAACATCATCCACTGATGAAGACCATGACATGCGGTTGAAAGCTCCAGGACCTGCTAGTAAATGCACTTTGAGTGAAAGAATAAGTCTTCTTATAGTCAGTGAATCTCATGTTCAGGTCTAAACCAACAATGGATGTATCTCCAAACAAGCCTGATATATCTTCCTCCTCTGTGCCATTGTTGTCTAAAAACTATTTAAACACTTCAGTGAGACACACTGTTGCACTGAGTGACATGGTCGTTCATTGGCATAGACACACACGCTGTAATTTATTATAACTCAAACCCACATACACCATCCTGCTGCTACACATAGGCTACTCACCAAAGAACCAAATGTGAATTACGCCACTGCTGAAAATAGTCCCCATCATATGCACAATTTCCTCCTTTTTTGGCATATTTTTACTAAAAACCACAGTAAACAACCATTTTAGGAGATTACAATTTTAAAAAAACAACACACTCAGTCACACACACACACACATACACAGCAAGAGAAGTGTCAGAGCGATGTAATGGGGCTGCAAAACATTTTCTCATTGCATCTCATTTAATACATTTGCATTGTCAGTGGACGTACATATCAAAATATGTCATGCTCTGTAGAGGAGAGCGGGGCTGGGGCACAACCTAACGCAAGGTAAACTGTAACACAGATTTTTTATGTGGTAATATGGGGTCGATCTTTTTGTGCATTCGGCCAGTTGACCA